TTTTTGCAAAAGTGATTAAACATTGTCTGCATTCATAATTGCATGGTTAATAAGAATGTTGAGTACCAAGTCAAGCATTGTTGCTAATGATGACAGATTATGATGCTACAAATGCTTTGGAGTTACCAGGCTAAATTTTCAAAGGCAGTCCTTGGAACAGAATGCACACAGGCCCACTAAGTATTCAATTTGCATGGACCATTACCAGGTTTGTGTATGGCATTTGGGAGCTTTGCAGTTGAGACTCTTTTGAAAATCTGGCCCATTATGACAGAAAGCATCTGTAATTAACAGTAAACTGAGCTCCCTTTACCCAGCTTGGTAAAAGGTGTAAAAAGCTCTGTGTGTGGTTTCATGGAGTCCAAAGCCCCTTTGATGAAGAATCCTTGAGACCCAGAGGAAAGTAAGTACCTGTAGGGATGTAATTCAGATATAGAGATGGGTGTATGTATCAGAGTTCTGCAAGCAGGTGAGGTGTGGGTAAGTTCTTCAGAATAGGACTGGGAAAGGTCTTACCTTTGAGCTCCTATCAGTGATCGCCTTTCTCATTTGGCCATAAACATACCAATTGAATCTTGGGAATTAATGGGTCAATTTACAGGTTTAATTATTTAAAATCTAGGACTACCCCATGATTCACTGGGGATTGGGAGCTGTGCTGTGGTCTGGATTCCTTTCTGTTTGGAGCTATGGGTGGAGTGAGTTACTTGGTTATTGAAAAGCACTACTTCATCTCAGTTTGTCTACACTCTGCTCAGGAAGAAAGCAATTCCATTTATGGGGCCATGCATAGCCACAATTGATGAGGAAAGCTACATGCTGAAAGGTAATTTATGAATTTGTATATTCTTGAAAATATTGTGCATCTCTCTGGGATGTTGAAGGTCTGATGGAATTTTTTGGGTAGCATTATGACTGGTGGTATTTGCTTATTCCTCCTGTTCTGTATATCTCATCTTGACAATAGCTTGGCCGAGAGAAGAGGAACAATTTGTATTGTGCTTTGACTTGCTGAGAGCACCTCATTCAGTGCTGTTTTTCTGCCCTAGTCAGCTGTGGTAAGAACAGGGGGTTGTAAACTCTCTTAGTGTGTAAGACAGATTGACATAGGGTTGAGGACATGGCTTTCTGATGGCTGGGATTGAAATGCCACTCTGTCATCAACTGGTGACATTCTACAACTCTTGAAGTGTTTCTTTTCCTCATTAGTAAAACAGAAATAAGATTAATAGGCACGAGTTCAGGTTACTGTGAGGACTCATGAGATAGGTGTATGAAAGTCTTAGTTTTAGACACAATATACAGTAGATAAAAGTGTATTCCTCCTGTCTTTATTGCTCTTAAGGTCACAGGACTTGGTTCTGGGCAATTACAGGCCACAGTGAAAGCCAGAATCTCTTTAACTTACTAGGGTCATTCTTCATGGGTCTAAGAGGAGATGAGGCAGAACCTTTTGTCCATATGTGATGTGATTATAGTCAACAATCAGCTACTTACATATTATGAGATAAAATGTATTTCTCTTACCTCTTTGAAGATATATACATATTACAGAGTAATGAAAGTGTCGTCAATAGCCCAGGAACACAGGTCATCCTGAAGCTATCGTAAGGTCTAAGGTCCCATGACCTACTTCTGGGATTGGAAATCATACTCAGGACTTGGAATCACACTCAAGACTTGAGTTGAAATATTGATGGGAGGAGCATTTTGGAGTCAAAGAGGACAACAGAGTGAGCTACTATGGTGCTTGCTCAGATTCTGTCTGAGCTTCTGCTTTTATAGTAACACTCCCCATTCACAAATTAGACTTTTCATTCTCGTATCTCTGGCTAGGGATTAGGCCTCTCAACCTTGAATCTATAGGTAGGGAAAACCATTCATTCTTTTTAAAAGTTATTAATTTTTTGATACAATATATTTTGATCATGTTCTCTCCCCTCTTTCAGTTCCTCCTAGATCTTACCCACATCCCTATCCACCCGACTTTATGTTTCTTTCTCTCTCTACAAAAAAGCATGAAAGACAAAAAATAATAATACTAAAACTGTAAAAATCAAAACAAACTAAAAAAAATAAAAAAAATTAAAGAAGAAAATCAATGAGGTTTAAAACAAAACCAAAAGAAATAAAAACAGGAAGTGCACAGAGATAAGGGAATCTATTTTGTATTGGTAGATTACTCATAGACATAGGCCCTGCCCTGGAGTGTGGTTGACGTTCCTAGGGACACTATTGGAGAAAACTGGTATTTTCTTTCCCAGCTGGTATCAATTGCAAATAGTTTTTTGGTTGGGGGTGGAGCTTTGTGTCTACATCCTCTTGTTAGTGGTGGTGGGATTTTTGTCTGGCTTGAACTTGTGCAGATCTTGTGCATGCTCTTTCAGTCTCTGTGGGTTCACATGTTCATTGGTCCTGCTGTGTCTGGAAGATACTCTTTCTTTGGAGTCATCTACCACGTCTAGCTCTTCCAATCTTTCTGCCTCCTCTTCCGCATAGACTCATGACCCTTTTTGAATTACTGAGCCACAGAGCCCACAAGCATAATTAAGTGGCAGTTATTTCTGTCACTGAATGTATGTGTGTAGGGGTGTGTGTGTGTGTGTGTGTGTGTGTGTGTGTGTGTGTGTGTGTGTGATAATTAGAACTAGGAATTACAATTTGTAAACCAATATTTTGATGAGGGCCAAGCCTGAGATCAAACAAAGCATTTTTTTTTTCAAAGAAAGTCTTAATGGTAGAACTTTCTACCATTAAGCACTGGCCTCATGGTCTGAAGCTCTATGTTCTGTTCACCATTCTAAATATCTTCCCAAATCTTATTATAAGCCCTACACATTCATAAGGCTAAAAGTCCAGGCAATGACTTCTACTCAGTGACTTACAGTATATGCCTGGCATAGGGAGTTCTCTTGCACATTTTAGGCTGTGAGAGATACTAAGGCCTCCCATGATACAGAAATAGAAATGGAGAGGAAGAAGACAGTTCATGTGAGATTGGAACCTTGCAGGGGAGAATTTGGGAGGTGCCACAGCAGGGTGATAAAATTCCGGAGACTGGTAGGAGAAGGCCTGAAATGGCTTTGGTTCTGTTTGGGCAGAGGACCGCATGCTGACAAGAGAGATGTTGATAAGCAGCTTTCCCTAGACTCTTGCTGTCTGCAGCTAAATGGAAAGTGAGAAGTAGCACATATGGAGCAAGAAGTAGCAGAGGGAGTCAGCAGGAGAGGAGGATGGCTGCTTGAGGAGAGAGATGGGAGCCCCAGTAAGGTAATGGAAGCAGTTGGCCTGCGTGTCAAAAACAAGCCAGGGGAACATCAAAGACAGTGGGAGATCGTGAGGGGGCTACAATGAACACCCCAGTAGAAAGTACAGAGTGGTTATTTGGGATGCAAATAAAGGTAATTCACAGTGTGTGGGTAAGAGAGGGAGGGTGGGCGGAAGCACATTGCATGGGGGGGATGGTGAATAGTTTCAACTTTTTAGAAAATAATAGTTCAGTCAAGAGTTTAAGTTGTGGTATGACATTCTTTGAGTTACCAGCTTACAATTAAGAGTCGTATTCTCTGCACTTGTGGTAAGTGCCTTTACCTGTTGGTAGTGTTGAAATGAAATCTGGACAATGCCTGTGTAGTTAAGGTTAAAAACTTCATTCCCCCGGCCCCATGTGTACATGGATTACACATTTTCACTAAGAAGTGATCACTGGATAAAAAAGCTGGGAAATAATTATGATATGTAGGTAAATGAGAGAAAAAAATCATCTGAAAGAGAAAATGATTGGAACATATTAAGTCAGTAGACCCTCCAAAGATATTTATGTTCTAACTCCTGGAATCTTGGAATATGTCATTTTATATGGTAAAATGACTTCTCGTATGTAATGAATTTACCTTCCATAGGAGAGAATATCTTGGCCACCTCAGTGCATGCAATCTAGACATACATGTCCGTAAAGTAGGGCAACTTTGGCCAGAAAAAAAAAAGAGACCTTATTATAGAAAAATGCCCAGGGACATATACTATTCTTGGTTTTAAAACAAGAAGTGGCTGTGAGCCAGGAAATGTTTTCTAGGACCTAAAGAAAGGTGCTTAACCCTGAAGACACCTTGGGTTTTCACCCAGGAAGACCCACATTTGCCTTCTGATCCATAGAATTAAAAAATAATGAAAAGGTCTTGTTTAAAGCCACTAAGTTCGTGGTATTTTGTTATAGTAGCTATAGACATTCCCTTCCTCCTTCCTCTCTTGAAAGGCCGAGTGATGTTCAGCCTAATCAGGATTTGGTGGTGTACAATAATATTGGAAAGGGTCAATCTAACCCAAACCAGTTGAATAGCTTCAGTTTTCTGAATAACAGCTAACTTGTTAGTGGGATTAGATTGTCTTCAGATGCCTGTTGAGAAACATCAGAACTTAATTTCCATCCTTTTGGATTGACCTACAGTAGGATTCCTATAGAGTACCCAGCAATGATTTCACTTTCTTGTGTTTGTCTTGTTTTGACTCATAGGTGAACCCCTTAGAGCCAAGTTTCTACCGCAGAAGCAACTGCTCACTGACTCACTGTTGATACGAACAGAAGGGTTTCTTGGCTCAGTCTGGGCTAATCAGAATCTAAACTTCTGGTCCAGGAGTTTATAATGGGTTTTGAGAGTAGTTAGGTGCAGCCTCTGCCTGCAGTTAAGATGGAGATGATGTAAATGTGGAGGTTGAGTGATGGCCACGGGCATTGATATAACTATCAGGTCTGTAGGGAGAGGAACCCGAGGCGGAAGCACAGAACAGAGAAGAGTAGAGGCTATACAGTTTGAGAGAAAGAACCAAGAGGGTCTTGCTGGCTTTTAGTAAACACTTTTACTGTTATTGGTGCCTGGCTGCATCTCTGACCCAGATTCTACAAGATACCACCATCTCATTATAAAAGCTGTATTTATTTAAACCTTGCTGAAAGAGTTCCTGTTACTTACAAACAAAGGGGCCTTGACCAGCGCACCCACCGTGATGTAGATGAATCAGGAGGGAGGTGAGGAGGTTCTGTTAATGCCATCTTGGGTCCTCATTTGTGCTTATTCCAGGAAAACCTACAGAAAATCAGGCAGCTTAATTATTCAACAGGCCAAGGGCATTTCATCGTTCCGTGTCTGTAGCTGTAGCGCATAGCAGGTCTTGCCTTTGTAGGGGTTGGGGCTCCTGGCCATAGAATGCTTTATTAGGCTCCTGCCAAAGGCATCTCATTTTCACATTCAAAATTAATGTTGGCAGATGGATATCTTTGAATCAGGATTTTGTAATTCTAGCTGACTTCTCCTCATCAAGCCTGTGCATGCAAACATAGCCGCTCGAACACCCAGCTGTGGGGCTTTTCTGTAGTTAGGAAATTTCATTTCTTGGGAGAAAAATTGAAGCCAAAATGGTGGTTTTTCTAATTATCACTAATTTCAGAATTTAGAAAGCAACCATGGGGCTGAAGACATGGCACAGCAGTTAAGAGAACTTGCTACCATTGCAGAGGACCTGGATTTGGTCCCAGCACACAAGCTGGGCAGCTCACAGCTGTGTCTAACTCTAGCTAAGGGAATCAAATGCTATATTCTGGCCTCCATGGACATCCACATACATATGAATGCACACACACACACACACACACACACACACACACAGAGAGAGAGAGAGAGAGAGAGAGAGAGAGAGAGAGAGAGAGAGAGAGGAAACTATAAAAATCATCTTATTATCTAACTAATTATATAGACAAGAGGATATATGCAGGATGGCTAGATGGATTCTTTTATATTCTTTGATTGAATCTGTATGTATGTAGCAGACTATGGAGACTTAGAAAATGAATTACTCACCAGATTAAAAACATAACAAAACTTTGGATTGAGATATTTTATGAATATTAAATATTTTTATAAGACATGCGATATTATTAATTTAAAATTTTTCTATTGACCCATGAATGTCCAACCAAATACAATGTATTTGATGGACTCGATGTTAATGGGATGTTAACCCACAGTATTTATGCATCTTTTCATTTCCTCTGTCTCCCTCCCTCCCTTCTTTCTTTTTTATTTTTCCTGAGTGCCGACGTTGTCTTTTACAACTTTTAAAAGCTGGACATGTAATAGTTAATAATATGCTCCCATGGGTCAAGGATACTAGAAGAACACGGCCCACAAAATCAACTAAACAGGGCTCATAGGGACTCACAGAGACTGCAGGGGGCAATCTGTAGTCTTAGAAAACTGAGATTAAGTCATTTTTCCTGTCCACAGACTTTATCATTTAGATTTCCCCCCCACTATGTTTCTTCCATTGATATCTCAAAAGGGGAATTGGATTAGGAACTTTTTTTTCCCCACACAACTTGTATTGAGTTTAGGGAAAGAAATTAAAATATGTTGTGGACCAATATTTCCAAGTACCAGCTGATTTCCTCTCTTTCTCCACAATTCTCATCAAATATCTTCTGTTGTCTATCAAGAACTTGTCTGGCATAGAAGCAGTCTTTGTGTTCATTTTCTTGGGCTGAGAGTCTAGATGACAACATGTCAACTGTTACTGAAGCCATCTCCCTCTGTCACTGGTTCCTGCCAGCTTCAAGACACTGAGTCACAGCTGACTTCCTGGGCATACTGTTGCCAGCCTGCAGGAGTCTTCTCCACTCATCCAGGGTGGAGTTACACTTCCCATAGAAACAAGCAATGAGATGAGGAGGAAAGTTGGGCTCTATGACTATCCTTTGAACTCTCTGGGTATACTGTATATTTTCATATGGGCCATAGGACAATATAATGCTTCATTATATACAGTTCCATGAGGCTGGGACTGTAGCTCAGTGGTCGAGTGCTTGCCCAATTCCTACAAGGTCCTGGATTCAATACTTAGCACAAAGAGAAGAGAACAGACCAGAATAGATAAAAACAAACAAACAAACAAAAACCAGATAGAAGAAATGAAAAGATCTCATGAATTAGTGCCTTAAAGCAATAAGCATTTATTTAGTCTATGGCTTGGAAGTTTAGCTGGACATAAATGGATTGTTTTGGTCATAGCTGGGCTCACCATGCCTGGTGTTGAACTTCTGACTGGTTTCAAATAGCTCCTGCTGCAGCTCCCAAGTTCCCTTAGCTCTTCCCAAGTAGTCTGATAAAGTCAGAGATATATGTTTTTTTCTCTCATTCATATTGTCATAATAACTATTGAGGGGAAGAATAAGCAAGGCCAGTTATGCACATTACTTTATAGCGAAATCATCTTACTGGCCAAACAAATCTCATGGGTAACCCTGGAGGCAGTGTGGAAGGGACTTGCAGAGTCACAGGACAAAGAACAGGGGTTAAAGGGGGAGAGGTTAAGAGCCAGGGTCATTAATGCCATCAGCAGCATGCTTATCCGGGGACTAAATGTTATAGGTTATTTATTTACCAAATGATCCAGGCTGAGTTTGAAAGGTTTAAAGGAACCATGGGAGTAGGGGGACCCTGGATTCCAGAGTAGACCAGAACTTGTTCAGGTAAGCAGTAGCAATGTCTGAATCTGGGGTGACAGGGAAACTGGGAAGTGGAGTGATAAGAGATCCTGCCTCATGTAGCTAATTGTACTATAGATGTAGGAGTGTAAAGAAGATAAACATGACCTGGAGGTGGTGGCTGTGACAGATGAATAACCTGCTGTGCCTTGTAGGTGAGGGTCTGGAAGTTACTTGTCAAAGAAGCTTGATGAGGTGGGTAGCTCAGGTCCCCCGGGACACAGGGACACAGAGCAGCAGGACAGTAAGTTAGTGGGACAGTAGTGTAGCCAGAGCTGGGAGGATGGTAGGATGATGATGGCCATGAGTGCTGGGATTGTGGAGAGCCTTCTTGCTTGGGGACTTGGAAGCTCCTGGGCAATAATTTGGATCCACTGTGTTGGAGCCCTGGCAGATTCCCAGGGACCTGTGGAGGGTGTTTATGACTTACTGGGTGATCCTCCCTCACCTTGGTTCTCTCAGAACTGGAGCTTTATCTAAGGCACCATGGAGGAGACTCCCAACCCCTCCTGGGAGGGTGGCCATTCTGTTGTATGAAGACTGTCATTCCCTGCTGCCCCCGTAGTTCACAGGCCCTGCTATATTTAAACAATCACACTGGTTTCACCTTTTCTTCCCAGCTCACCTCCAGATGCTCTCCAGCTGTCCGTCTTTCTTTTACTCCACCCAGTTCAATAAACAATTGCAAAACCTGGCAATCAGGGTGAAGCCAAGCATTCTAAACTCTAGATGTTTTGACTTTCCTTTTTCTTTCCAATAAAAATCTCTTTTAAGGATTCCCAAAGTGGAAAATGTTTCAAATGACCTCCCTTGACTGCCTGTTCTTGAATTCCTCAGGATCACCACTGATAACATTCAAAAAGATTTCTGGGACACAGAATTGAGCTTAAAAGAGTTTGAAGGCTTCTGGAAGCCACCTGATCAGAGAAGTGATTTGTTAGTTCTTTGGCAGGGAAAGTCAGGTGTCATGTTAAACAAAGCTGATGATCAACAACTGCCTCAGGGCTTGAGTGCAGCCCGATGCCTACCTCAGTTTCTCCCTACTCATCAGGACTTAATGTTACACATAAAACAGAAGTAAATAAGGTACTATTTTTCCTAGGTCTTAGATTTACTCCGTTTATCTTTTCTTCTTCTGTGCTTATGGGGAATGCCTGTCACTTGAAGTCAGTGTAGTCTTCGTGAAGGGCCAGTTCTTTCCAGTGTCAAGGACACCAGAAAATAAAACCTGGATGGCAAAACCAGCTCTTTGTGGGAGTGGATGTGTACTCGACTGTGGAAAATCTGTAACTACATATACTTCCTGCTCCTTCAAAGCTGACTTCTGCTGGGGCTGGTGACGAGGCTGTTGGATGCTGAATACATTTCTTCTTCTTCTTGCCAACCTCACATCTCGCTGTAATTACATGCATAATCACTCATCATGAAACGACTGTAGTTCTCTATCAGGATTTCACAAAATATGGTCTATAGAGTTCTGGCTTACTTAAAAATTGCTGGATCTGGGTCATGGTAATATACATTAAAGAAAGCAAAAACAAAACTGGGCATCCCAGGTGACCTCATACTTCCTGATGGATAAGAATACACTGTCCTTGGGGCACAAATATTCATTTGCTTTTCTGCTCCTTCAATCTTTCCTTCTCTCCCCTCTTTCCAAATCAGGTCTCATGTAGCTATTGATGACCTCTAAGCTTCCTGCCCCACCTCCTGAACACTGAGATTCTAGGCATCTGCCACCAAACCTGATTTTACACAGTGCTGGTAATCTAGCCCAGGGCTTGGGTCATGCTAGGCAAGCACTCTACATATCAACTGAGTTCCATCCCTAGGCTCCTCTCCTGCAACTGTTCCTTATTATTTGTATGCTTCAGATTGATACAGAGGAGCAGCAAATATTATTTTAAAATAATATTTGATCCTTGTTTGTGACTATGTAAAACTAGCTAGCTTGTGACTTAAGAACATTATCTCATGGTCATTACTTATTTCATCTTGGCTGTGGTAAGGCAACTAGGTATCAATTGAAGTTCATTCTGTTTTTCATATAAAGTACTTAATATGACATGGCTATGTAGCCCTTTTTGCATTTAGTATTGTGTCTATTTCTTTCCCCTTTTCCTGGGTGCAGAGGATTTCCAATTTAAGGTTGAATGTAGCCTGGGTCCCTGAATAACCATGTACCCAGAGTACCTTCTTTGACCTTTTATCTGAGTGACAAGTGAGCCCTTGAGATGGAGGTATCAGTGGTGTTTGTTGTGGCATGTGACTCATTGTTTAGGTGGGTCCAGATGGGCATCATGCCCTTTCCATACTCAGATCAAACATTGAGCTTGGTTTACACATATCTTGTGCTCTTTTCAAAGGTAGGAAATCATTTCATGGGAAGGAATTTGGTTTTCAGAATTAGGGAAGTGAGCCCAAGTCTCAGCTCTGCCACAGGGCTATGGAATAACAGATAAATCATGAGATTGCTCTGGGATTCAGCTTCTATTGTCTAGTAAGATCAACAATATTGTATTTTTTTTTGTCTCTCAAGGTATATAG